AATTTGATAGAAACTTGTAGGCAGCCAGTGACAGAAATCTCTATCAGACCTGCCACTCAAATGATTTGTCAAATGATAGTCACTGTTCTTGTAGGGTACAAATGTCACAAAAGGTTAAGGCGAAGAAAAACGTGTGCTTTGCATTATTTTGACCTGGCTTCAGATAGGCGTTGACTATTGGTTTAAATAAGTATTTACGTTAAGGCTGTGCCATGTGTCGCTTTCACACATACATATTATTGAATAATTAACGCAAAAAAGGTGTCATACTTCACAGTGGGTTAAAGTTTCGGCTGAGTCGGCCACCCCAGCTGAGTGGTTAGAGGTGCGCAATTCCACTCGATAAGACCAAGGTTCGATCCCTGGTCAGAGCAGCATTCGATTGTATTTCTGCTATGAAAAAGTTTCTTATAAAAAATTATTGATAGTTCGGTGGCGGATGTTACACCATCGAGACGCACAGCACAAATTGGAGAGTAGGCATGGATAACATAAAGATTATTGAGATGAGCCACTTAACAGTAGTAAGGGATCTAATTTTTTTGTATTTTGTATTTAACGCTTAGCTTCTACCAGAAGTAGTCCTTTGGACCCATTTTTGTAAAAAATTTGGAGAGTTAAAATGTTAAGTAAAAATGTTAGTCATAAAATTTTACTAGGGGTCACCGAAAAGGATAATTTTCTGTGAATTAAGGGGCAAGTGGAAATGCATAATATTTCATGTAAAAATATATCGTCACTTGAAATGCGAAAAGCAGTAAGCAATAAATATTTGTTGCATAAAACGATGTAGGGAATTGTAATTCGATGAAATGCATCATATCAATTATAATGTAAATTTATCAATTTATTTTAATTTCATGTAACGATATGTTCCTTATAACCTTGGGCTGCTTTTGGCTGATATCCTAAAATGTCTGCTTCCCTGCAGAAATCTAGTCTCGTAAATCTATTTTTACATTCCCTAATCGACTAGTCTCCCAGTATTTAAAGATTTGAACATCATGCAAAAAATGTCCAGATTACCAATTTTTTTTTTAAGTTTGAGATTTTGATGGAAATTGGTTGAATTATTATAAATTTTTATAAAATTTGAAAATCAAATTAAAATACATGAATGGTTTTTGTATAAAATATGCTATATTTAAAAAAAAAATAAAGAATATTAAATAAATTAAAAGGAAAACTATCAGTATTGAGGTTCAAAAGGGGATGCTAATCAAGTGGCAGGCACTGTACGTACGTACATACATACATACATAACGAATTCTTATACTATTCATCAACAACAAATCAGCTGTTGCCTAAATGCAGATAAGTATCCTCTGCGTATTAACGAACTTTGAAAAGCAAATTCAGTCCTAGCAACAAAATGTGTAGTAAACATAATGTATAGAATTTGTTGTTTTGTTCTTTAGATTAGATAAGTGACTGGTAATAGTTGCAAGTTAACACTTCAGTTTTTTCATGTTTTTTTTTTTT